TTGGGCCAGTGCTGAATATTTTGGAAAATCTCACCTGTGAGCAAGGATTTTTGGTTTTAAAAATATGTATTTTTAAATGAGTTTGCAAGTGTTGTAGAACTCTAGTTCCCTGATTCTCCCTTAGAAGCAACTTCCATGGGATCAGCTTTGATTGATGATTTTGTACCATAAAATGAAGGCAACGGGACAGCCAAGATGCATGGGGCTGTCTCCCCAGCACATTCAGTTCTGCTCCATCTATATCCCGCAGTGCAATCCTTCACGCTTGCTAGTAAAGATTCCCTCAGCTGCTCGGATATTGAACAGCCGCCAGTATTACTTGGTCATAGGTATAAGTTGTCTGAAGATGTCCCGACTGATAGATCTCAAATCCACATTTCCATTTAATGGCTGACTGTTCATTTGAGAGCTCACCCCAGCAGGCTGCACATCTCTCCCTCTGTAGGTGTATTTCAGCTGGAAGCTACTGCAATTCTCCCTTCTATCTCGTACACCAGTCTGCCAACGCATCTTAATTCTTATCTACAACATCTCTAGTTTTTTATTCCCATTTCTCCTCTTTTTTTATTTCCTTCCCTATTCTCAGAAGGAGCATTTTCTAGCTGTTAAAGCACATGACTGAAAAATCAATGACTCCCGTGCTCTTTGCTCCTCCAGTATCTTATTTGGTAGTCTTGGGCAAGTTGTTTAACTTTTCTGTACCTCAGATTCCTCATCTGTACAATGAAGGTCACTGCCATGTGTTCATAAATATCTCACAGTGGTGCTGGGAAACTTTAATACTTGAAAAGTGATTTGAGATCCTCAGAGGCATAATGGTGCTTTTGCCATGTAAAGAATATTATTTTACCCTGGGTATGGATTTAGGGATGTAATATGCAGCTGAGGAGGGGGTAAGCCTTTTCTTTATTATTTGCCAGGCTGCAGGAAAGTAAAATAAAGCTTTTGGCATGAAAAATTAGGAATCAGATAAATTATTCTTCTGCTACATACAATCTCTGGCTAAACTGATTTTTAAAGTGTTTATGGTTACATGGAATAGGGCAGCTACAGCTCTTCGTTAGCAGGGATGTTAGAAGGTGCTTCTCTAATGTAGCATCACAAAATGCAGAGATCAACACGTGGTTGTTCAATGGTTATTGCGTGCTGAGCTATATAAATCATCAGTCATTTTCATGTATGCAGGTGGTCTATAGAAGTATCTCAAGAGAATCAGAATTGCTGCAGGTCTTTCTGTTTCCTTCACACAATCCAGATCATAAATGTTGTCTACTTAAAACCAAATCACTACCAGTGGTAATATAGATCAGCAATTCTGTAGCAGCCCTCAAGGTATTTGAAAAGACACCTCCGTGATACTGAAAAATCAATTGGAAATCTCCTTCAATCTATATAGATCCCAGCATGTAAAACAAACAAGTAATAATGTGGTGAGCTGGTGCAGGAAAATGCACAGAATACAAAACTAGCCATATGGTGAAGGCTTTCTAATGAGGCTTTGAATGTTATTTTCATTGCTCCAAGTTACTCAGTGCAATAAGATAATACGGGCTTTGTGCAGGGTAATATCATTAAGTATATGAATATATTTCTGAAATGGCATTTTTTCTCCTGTTTTATCTACTTAGGGTGTTAGCGAGACCATTCTGCCTTTAGGCAGAACCGGCATCAATTTTTCTCTTAGATTTTTTAATGCAAATTTAAACTTCTACTGCCTTTTGATGGATTGTTTTAAATTCTGAAAACTCCTTTAAAATAAATTATCTCTTGTCCTTTTGAGGTAATTGATGATCTAAAGTATTTTCTCTGCATACTGCAGTCCTGCCTTCCTTTTTACTGTCTCTCAAATCCAATTCAAAACCCAAAAGTCCCAGAATACTCAGTGATATTCATGATCCCTATTAGCCCGAAATACATTAACATCCATAATTCCTGAGCCAGATACTGAGCTGATTTGTATTTTTAGTTGCATAGGGGAAACTAAGTCTACGATAATAAAAAGAAGCACTAATACACTGCTAATTGCTTATTACCCTAAGGTAAAACCTACCCGTGTAAAGCTCTTACCGTGATAAGCAATATAGCGTTCTATAGCATTTGATGAAGAAGTCTACAGGTATGAAGTGAAAATGAAATTAAAGTATCGCTTTAAAACATCTCCAGATGTCAAAGGTGCACAGCTGATGACAGCTAAAAGGTTTGCAGTTTGATCCCTTCGAGACCTGCTGAGTGGGATGGGGAATGGCGGTTTAAGCCAAGGCTTGCTGCAGGTTGCAGAGATAATATTCCAACATGCACAGGTGGAAGACCCCTGCTGTGAGCAGATTTGAGTGAAGAGCCCTGCAGGTCTGCAACACTCAACTACATCCCTTGGGTTTGCCCGCACACCAAATACTGTGACGGAACGGTGTGTGGCTTAGTGAGCCTCATTACTGTATCACCGTAAGATCTTTGTTGGTGAGTTAAAACGGAGCTCCCTCCCTCAGCTTGGCTCTCCAGCTGCTCAAACAGGACATGGCTTACTCCCAGAAAGAACCCAACTGGTTATTCAGATTGACCTTCTCACTTGGGATTATGCGTCTTGCAGTTACACCTCCTGTATAAATCTAAATTTATCTCCAGCCTTTCCAGAGGTACTAGACAAACTCCCTCTACTCCTAAGTAGCATCGACATTTCAGGCACAAAACATAGGTACATTTACACTCATATTTTGTGGAATGGGAAGGATGAGCTGGAGGACTCTTAGGGTAAAGTTACATTTCTTAGGTTGTTCTTTCCCTTTATTCACAGGGAGTGCCATTTGCCACAGAGAAATTACAGGAGTGTGTGTGAACGCAGTTGGTATTTTTCTGGATCACAGTTTTGGGTATGAACACCAAAATTCTGCTCACTGTTACCCACTCTGAGGTGCCCTTAGCCTCTCTTGGATCTTGTGAGCTGGCCACAAGCCTTGAGTGCAAGACATATACATAGCACAGTGGGGAAGAAAATGGGGAGGTAGGGTAAAGAGGAGAAGCAACAACAGACTTTGGCTGGCCACACTGAATGGCCATGTATCTTTAAAATTCTGTTGAAACCAAAAGGGACTCTTGGGTTCATACCCATTCACTATCCTACCTAAGTGCACTGTCAGCTGTGCTGGTGCCCTGCTCAGAAAAAAAAAAAAAAAAAAAGGGGAATTAATTCTGAATACAGAGAACAGCCAGATCTCACTGAAGCCAGGCAGAGGTACCAGCCCTGTGCCAGGCTGCCCAGAAATCCTCTGCCTGGCCCATCTGCGTTAACTTTACCAGTAACGTTGCTGACTACGACATTAAATATTTGTCACGAACATTGCCCTCCCACCTGTACATGGCCTACCCACTCGCAAGGAGCTCCTGAAGCAGTTCGGCCCCACACCCTGCAGCGGTTTGATAAAGCACGAGAGGTTTCTGCCCAAATCCCCCAGGCATCCCCTTGACCCCTGCGTGGTGGGGGAAGGTTTTGAATCCACACGAGGGTCCTGCAACCCTGTGTGCCTACGTGGTGTTTGGCAGCAATAAACTTCACCCATCATTGGCCACTGTACCCTTATCGACACTTATTTGTTGGATTTCTCTGGCTTGCAGCCAGAACGGAGGCAGAAGGGTGATGGTGGGTGCCGGTGGGGTCAGGAGAAAGGGTGCCCACGTTTATTTCTGCGCATCCTCTCCCACCACCCC